ATATATATATATATATATATATAGTACGTATATATTATATATACAATGCAATTCACATTTTATACAATATACAGAAATACTGGAAATGTAGTGAAATTATGTAGGCGTTTTGTTGTGGAAATTAAATAATAATTACTTTATATGAAATTTTTGAAGTTGGAGTTGTATTTGGTCATATTTTTTACAAAGAATATTTAAAATTTGAATATATTTTGTCTGAAGATGATTTAAACCCTCAATTTCTATAAATTAAAAAAGTCACCCAACTTGACTAGCTTAACCATGTGTACATATATTCATTCGACGTGACACCTTTTTTTGTTGATGGCGTGAGTTTCTTAAAAAATAGACAGAAGGATGAATCTTGCAACTTTTTGGATAGTGCAAGGATGTTTTTTGTTCACTTATATAACACAAGGATGTACTTTAGGTTTAGGTTATAGTTGAGGAACGATTTTAGCCAAAAACTCTAATTGAACATATATAACTCTCTCTTTTTTTTTATCAAAGAACATATATAATACGATAATAAGTCGATATTAATTTGCATAAGATCTTTTGTACTTCACTGTCTGCAATCAAACAAATGGTATTGTTTGTTAGTGTGTTCTCTAACTACACATTTTTTATACACATTAATTTAAGCATTACAATATATATGTACCAAATGAGGGAACCCATTAACAAGACATAAGTATTTACTTCTATAAGTATAAGTATTGTAACAAAAAAAAAAGGTGAGATGACAATGACTAAAATAAAATAAAAATTCTTACAAGAAAAATATTTTCAAAAGGGTCTCTCTTGTGTTTAATTTTGAATATTTTCTACAACCTACTAGTAATTAATGGTGACCAAAGTGGAAATGTTAGTACAATAATAAGAAGAATGATAAGGAGAATAGCAATGCAAGTACATTTTCTTGAACTTTTTTGCAACTCCCTAGCCTCTGTGAGTTGTTCTGTTCCTCTTCTAACAAATGAACTTGCATGTGCCACATGACTCTCTATATCATTCAATTGTTGTCCTTGTGCTTCTACTAGTGCAGCCATGTCTAGGAAAATTTGGTGTAGTTCAATCAAATTCTTCTCAATTTCCTTCACAGCATCATGTCTTTCTTGAATTTCTGAAATTGTGTCCATAATTTGTCCTCTTCCTTGTTCTTGAATCGCCTTTTGGAGGAATGACTCGCTCTCTCCACTTGATATTAAATTATCTATAAGTTCATCATCTGCATTCTCTCCTGTTACGGTGAAGTACCTGTTGAAGACATAATTAAGTAATTATATTGAGAAATGGATATTGATATGATATCAATATTTATGGACAAAGAGACATTTCTAAATATCGAGTTGAGAAAATATAGATGAATAGACAGGGTGAAAAGAATTAGGTTGTGTCATATCACATTTGTTTTATTGTACCTATTATCTATATTATTATAATCATAAAAGGAACGAACAAAGGGAAAACCTTTCTAATAGTACCTTCTTGCCACAGTATCCTTGTATTCTGAATTCATCTTCGCTCTCAATGCTTGAAAATAATCCATGAGAACTTTTAGTTTCTTCCCTAAACCGCTAACTACAGAAGTCCTTGTTCGATCAGCAGAGGATCCTGGACCACAACCCAAGTTCTTCCTATTTGCTACATTTGATCTTTCTAAGCCTTCAAGTTTTCCTTTGATGATCTTGACACGTTTCAAAACAAGTGTCACATCAGAGTCCATTCGAGCCCTAATATCCTTTACTTTTTGTGCACTATGGACGGTTTTGCTCTCTTCATTTGATTCTTGCAATCGTTTATGTAAGTTCTCAACCTCCTTCATATCCTCTTTCACATTCTCTACATCTTCGAAGAACTTAGCAAGATCAATGCTTTCGTTCTGAGAAGGACCGGTGACCCCAGTCCCTAATTCCAAATCATCCATCTGGACCTGTTGTTTTAGGTCCTGATACTTTTTAAGCGAAGGAGAGAATAAGTCATTCATTTTATCACTACACTTTCAATAATCACCTTTTCTTTTATTTCTTTTCGTAGTAGGTTGAATTACTCTTACTTTTTTTCTCTTGTATATGCCTTCTCTCATCAATCATCGCCGGAGTAGAAAGAGAAGGCAACAAGAGAAATGCCTTCATTAAGAGAAAATAACAAACCAAGCTCATTGTTTGGTGAAGATTTGAAAGTAATATTATTAGAGGTGAACCAGTCACTTGTTAGTAGTAATTAAAATTCCACAAAAACAAACTTGAGGACAATAGATAATATAGGAAGATTTGTTGTTTTTTGGCCACTTGGTATTACATAAAGAAACTTGCCTCTATTAATTATTTGACCAAATAGGAAATTAAATTACCCTTTTTAACTTGTAGATAAGTGTGATATTAGTGGTGAGAGCGCAATGCATGATATATAAGTTAGACGCATGTCATGATATTAACATCTCTCTTATATGTACAAAATATGGTATTAAGTGAAAATAGTAAGATGTTTATGGAATTCTGTTTGTATATTTTATGTATATTAAAAATAATTTAATTTAATTTTTTTTATTTTAACATCAATGATATGAATCTATGGCATAGTTAAACTAGATCTTTTTTCAAAAAAAAAAAAAAAAACTTTAATTTCTTTTCCAAATTTTGGGCCTGTCAAACACATATTAACATAGAATGAGATAGAAGGCATATTATACGTTAGAACAAGACTTGCTACTTCATTTAACACGAATAACTCTTCAGATTACTTAAAAGATAACAGTTTTGATGTACAAAACATTTCGTGTTCGAATAAAATTTTAAAAAAAGGATCGCATCTAAAGCGATATGATATTGAAAATCTTATAATTTTTTGGTAGTATATTCATGTCAATTTTTCTATTGGGAGAGGGGTCTATTGGTATAATTCTCCTAATAAATTATTGGAAAAATAGATTATGTATATTATTATGAGCCAAATCAAAAACAAAACCGACCTTAGCTCAGTTGGTAGAGCGGAGGACTGTAGTTGTTGCTGGAATCCTTAGGTCGCTGGTTCGAATCCGGCAGGTCGGAATTTACTTTTTAATTTATTTTTTTACAAAACATTTTATAATCAAGCCGGATTTATATTATTAACCTATCTATATAGTAAGCGTTTGAGAACACACAATATTAAGCGTCCGGCAGGTCGGAATGTTTTTTAACTTCTTTTACGAAATAATTTATAATCGAACCAGACCAATTTATAATATTAACCTATCTATGTAAGTGTTTGAGAACACGCAATATTAACTTATCTATGTAGTAAGCGTTTGAGAACACACAATATTAACCTATCTATATTCAATAGTAAGCGTTTGAGAACACACAATATTAAGCGTTTGATAACAGGAAAAAAAAAGATATATTCCATCAAAATGAAATGTTTACATAAAAAATGTGGAAAACACGCCGCTGCCGGGGATCGAACCCGGGTCACCCGCGTGACAGGCGGGAATACTCACCACTATACTACAACGACTTGTTGTTTTATCAGCTACTGGTTTTTAAATTTGTATTTAATTCTTATAAAAATTGGGTGTGCGTTTTTTAAACAAAATTTGTTACTTAGTTATAATTGATTAATACTATTTCCTTTGATTAATTTGAGATATGATTCTAAAAAATATATGCTCACAAGTTGATGATGAAATATCGCATATATGTGACGTTTTGGATTGACTTTTCTTTGTTTGCATCACCGAGACTAGGACCTTTTGCTACCCCTGTAATGAGTCAACATCAAAGTGCCAAACAATATCATTGATAAGAGCTCTTGGAGTCATCGACATGTTCCCCCCCCCCCCCCCCCCCCGCACCTTTGATTTGTTGAGGGACAATCCTTCCACACGGGACTCTCGAGTCATTATGATTTTGAGGAGTTCATTGCCTTTTGAATTATATTAGAAAGCTAACTCAAAATTAACAAAATTGAGCTGCTTGCTAAAGAATTTGGACTTAGTTGATAAAGACATTGAATGGACTAAAATGCTTGAACCCCTTTTGGAACAGTGTTGATAAGGTATGAAGATCGTGATTGATCTTTTCAATTGTGGGTGTTCCATTAAAGAAACTAAAATGTCACAACTATAGTTTGCAACTTGTCAAAAGTTTTAACATATTGTTGTTAGAAATGGATCTTGAACCTAACTCAACCTCAAAAGTTAGCTCTTGAAAAAAAGATTGCCTGAGACCATAATAAAAGTGACCACTCATCCCTTTTTTATTTGACGATTGACATTTCATATAATCCTGAATAAGGCATGGATGGATTTATCCATTTCTCACAAGTAGGAAGATGTTCATCGACCTTATTAATTGCCTGAGTGAAGAGACTAGCTATACGAATGCTGGAGATGAAGAATCTTAGGATCATGAAAATAGGCTTCATCAAATTGATCAGTAATTTTTTGATAGACAGAAACAATGGATACAAGGACACTCGCCATCAAGAGTTTCCGTAGAAAATTCAAACTTCCTTTTTTGATGTTGCAATCACATAAAAACATAAACTTTGAGGCTTTGTAGCAACATAAGTCTTTTTGTTTTGGTCCATTTACATAGTGAATGATACAATTATGTTGCTTCAATTCAGTGGTTGTTTCCCATGGTCAAATAAAACGAGTTCTTTGGAAGATTATTTCAATTCTTTATTGCTCTTTAGTCCCCATATAAACTAGTAAAATCATATTCAGTTTTAAGATTGAATCTAGAATTAAGATACCAAGTTTATAAAGAACCAAAACCAAGAAAAATTTATATCTAGTTGAACGGTGTCATAAATAGGAACAAAAAGAGTACTAGTTAAAGCAATATACTTTAGGAATCATTTAATACGTTGGATTAATTAAGATATCATAGGATTAAGTTTAGAGTTAAAAATATAATTAATTAGCTTTTAGGGTTTAATTATTGTACTTTCCTTTTAAATAAAACACACACTTTTGCGCTTTCTGTCTCTCTCTCTCTCAGAATAAATCAATGGCGGCTGATTCTGAATCCTTCTACTTTCCTCATGAAGTTGTGACAGAAATCCTATTGAAACTTCCAGCTAAATCTTTAATTCGATTCACAGTTGTCTGCAAATCATGGTATTCCCTCATCACCAGTTTTCCTTTCATCTCAGCTCACTTCGCCCAAACCCCACAATCCGACACTGTTTTTGTTAGGCGTTATGACAGTTCTTGCAATAGAGAACACTATTCCTTGTTTGAAGACTCTAAGAATCGACCCTTTTACTTGAATTTCACATCGAAACTGTATTTCCCGTTCAATTGCCCACTTGGATATTTCAGAATTGTTGGCAGCTGCAATGGCATCCTGTGTTTGTCAGACGATTTGTTTGGTGAGTTGCGGAGTCTTATTTTGTGGAACCCTTCTATTCAGAAATTTATAACTTTACCCATGCCTTCAATTAATCCTCAGTCGCCTCATATGTTTGTTTTTGGATTTGGTGCTGATTTGCGTGAGTCTGATGACTATAAGTTGGTTAGACTTGTGTATCGTAAGAATGATGATGTCTTGTATAATGATCCTCCGGAGATTGAGATTTATTCGATTAATAGTGGGGTTTGGAGGAGAGTGATTGGGGTTGAGATTAAGCATTGTATAGTGGAGTTTATGTGGTCTCAGGTTTTTGTAAATGGAAATGTACATTGGATTGCGTATGATTTGGTTGCGAATGGTGGTGACCTTCGGAGTTTAGTTATGACTTTTAGTATAGCGGATGAGGTGTTTGGGGAGATTATGTTGCCGGATGCTTTAGTTGGTGTAATTGCAACAAATTTATCGATTATGTTGTTTGAGGAATCACTTGCTGTTGTTAAGTATGAGAGGGAGATAGATGGTGCTTCATGTGAAGTATGGGTGATGAAACAATATGGAGTTTTGGAATCTTGGAGTAGATTGTATCGTATAAATTTGGTTGCAGGTATGGAGAGAATAGTTGGATTTATGAACAACGGTGAAGTTTTGTTTTCAACTAGGAGCAATGATCTGGTTTCGTATGATCCAAATAGTGGACGAAATAGGGGTCTTCTTCGTATTCAAGGGAGCTCTCGCTCATTTTATGTTCAAAATTACGTGGAATCACTTATTTTGCTTAAAGGGAACAGTATCGTTTCTGGTGAGTTGTTGGAATGAATGGGAGATTTATGGTCTGAATGAGTAGCTGGACTACAGAAGTTATCGATTATGTTGTTTGAGGAATCACTTGCTGTTGTTAAGTATGAGAGGGAGATAGATGGTGCTTCATGTGAAGTATGGGTGATGAAACAATATGGAGTTTTGGAATCTTGGAGTAGATTGTATCGTATAAATTTGGTTGCAGGTATGGAGAGAATAGTTGGATTTAGGAACAACGGTGAAGTTTTGTTTTCAACTAGGAGCAATGATCTGGTTTCGTATGATCCAAATAGTGGACGAAATAGGGGTCTTCTTCGTATTCAAGGGAGCTCTCGCTCATTTTATGTTCAAAATTACGTGGAATCACTTATTTTGCTTAAAGGGAACAGTATCGTTTCTGGTGAGTTGTTGGAATGAATGGGAGATTTATGGTCTGAATGAGTAGCTGGACTACAGAAGTTATCGATACAATAAAGATGAATGTGATCAGAAGGCAAGACATTTTACCAAAGTTCATGGTTGTTTCAAGGTAGTGGAAGTGGAAGATGTTTTATCAAATTTGGTAGACCTTGTTTAGAGCTATCTGATCAGAAGGTATTGTACTGAATGTTGAATTACATGGAATCACTTTTTGTGTTACATTAGTTGTTAGTGTAATCTTGTTACTTTTTGATGTATTTCCTTATTATTGTGAAACCTTATCCTAATCAAGCAATGGACCTTGTCTTTATCCGTCTAGTCTACTATGATTTTACTATCGGCTTGTTTTCATTGTTTTTTTTTAGCTAAATATGGTTAGCCCTTTTAAGATTACCAAATCCAGCACCCCTTTTCACCTAAAGTTGGCAGGCAATAAGGTGTTGTAGTGGCCTGACTATTTGCTATACGCACATTATTACCTTCTCATTGCATCTATTGTGATTTGATAAGGCAGAATTTCCATACTTGGTGGAAGGTGGAAAGTATCGAGTTGTGCGATAGCTGATCCGAACACCACCGTCGTCATAAAAAAAATACAAAGAATTTCCATACTTTTCCCTAATGTTGAAATTGACGTGTGATGAGGGAAATGCATAATGCTCGATTTAGCTCAATTATAAATCCTTGATTGATTATGGCTGATCTTCTTTCCTTCTTGTCCTTGGGTGAATTTCACCTATGTGTTTCTTTCTTTCTTTTCCTACGAACTTACTTTTGGTTAATTGTCATTATTAAAACTAATTTAGAAGTATTTAGGGGCTAACACTTATTACAGAAGAACAATTAATAACAAAGAAGTAAAGTTAGAAAATATTTGAGGAGGAGACAGTTTTTCAATCATTTGTCATAATTGAAAATTCAACTAGTAATAAAATAATGATGGAGAGTTCTAGTTCATAAATCATAAATACCATATATTAATTCTCATCCAACCTTAACTTTCCACATAATTACTTCATAAATTCACCCATATTTGGAAATAGACTTGAAGCGATCCCCCAACAATAACTAGACAATGTAATTCTCACTTAACGTAACACAAGGACAAAAGAAACATTATTACTGATTTTTTAAGAATAAGTTATAAGATTATTAATCTAATAAAACGCAAATAAAAGGTTAAGCCGGTAAGTATATGATTTCTGGATTTTCTGGCCTAAAGGTCCTAAACAAAAGATAAGTGAAAGAAATAGCTTAGCGATTTTAGCATTGGGTTTATTCCAAACCAGCAACCCTCCCTACACCGCATGATTTTTATTTAAAAAATCTAAACATGTCTTGCCCCGCCCCGCCCCGACATCTCAATATTTAAAGCAAATTTACCAAAATGTCTTCCATAACTAGGGTTCTTCCTATCTCTCTCTCTCTCAAAATTGATCAATGACTGATTCCGACTCCACCTACTTTTGTTCTGAACTTTTGAGAGAAATCCTACTGAAACTTCCCGTTAAATCCTTAATTCGATTTATAGTTGTCTGCAAATCATGGCATTCACTCATCACTAATTTTCCTTTCATCTCCGCTCATCTCGCCCAAATCCTGCGTTCCAATACCTTTCTTGTTAGGCATTTCGATAGAACTCGCAAAAGAGAGAACTATTCATTGTTTCAAGACTCTAAGAATCAACCCTTTTCCTTAGATTTTACATCGGAATTGAATTTCCCTTTCAAATCGAACCTAGGGTATTTCAAAATTGTTGGTAGCTGCAATGACATCGTGTGTTTGTATGACGATTTGCTTGGTCAATTGCGGAGTCTCGTTTTGTGGAACCCTTCGATTCATAAGTTTATAAGTATTCCTATGCCTTCGATTAAGCCTTAGTGGCCTCATATGTGTGTTCTTGGATTTGGTGCTAATTTGCCTGAGACTGATGACTTTAAAAGTTGGTTAAACTTGTGTATCATATGAATGATGGGTTCGTATATAGTGGTGCTCCTGAGATTGAAATTTATTCGATTAATAGTGGGGTTTGGAGGAGAGTGGTAGGAGTTGAGATTAAGAATTGTATGGAGAAGTTTTTGTTGCCTCAGGCTTTTGTAAATGGGGTTGTACATTGGATTGCGTCTGATGTGGTTGTGAATGGTGGTGACCTTTGGAGTTTAGTTAAAACTTTTAGTATAGCAAATGAGGTGCTTGGGGAGATTATGTTGCCGGATGCTTTAGTTGGTGTAACTACAACGAATTTATCGATTATGTTGTTTGAGGAATCACTTGTTGTTGTTAAGTATGGGTGTGAGATAGGTGGTGATTCATGTGAAGTATGGGTGATGAAGCAGTATGGAGTTTTGGAATCTTGGAGTAGATTGTATCATATAAATTTGGTTGCAGGTATGGAGAAAGTAGTTGGATTTAGGAACAATGGTGAAGTTTTGTTTTCAACTAGAAGAAATGATCTTGTTTCTTATGACCCAAATAGTGGACGAAATACGAGTCTTGGTATTCAAGGGATCTCTTCGTTGTTTTATGTTCAGAATTACCGGGTATTACTTATTTTGTTCAATCGAAACAATGTCAGTTCGGGTGGGTTCTTGGGAGGAATGGAGGTTTATGGACTTAATGAGTAGCTGGACTTCAGAATTTATCGATACAATAAAGAAGAATGTGATCAGAAGGTAGGGTATTTCACCAAAGTTCATGACTGTTTCAAGGTAATGTGGAAGTGAAAGACGTTTTATCAAATTTGGTATCTGAAAATTATAATGTTCTGAATGTTGAACTTTTGTTTTCCATTTACGTGTGTGACATTAGTTGTTACTGTACTCCTATTGCCTTTTGATGTATTTTCAGTTTAATTGTTGGGATTTCTTTTTTGTATCAGTTGATTGCCATATTATCTTCTTGTAGTTATTGTGATGTTACTATTCGATCGTGTTTCATTGTTTTTGTTTTTTTTGAGTTAAATATGATTCGTCCTTTTAAGGTTGCTAAATCGGGCAATAAGGTGTTATGTGTCTCATCAATTGCACTTGTCTGACTATTTGGCTGCATATGCAGTTATGCACATAATTACCATGTCATTACTTCTAGTGTGATTTGATAGTCATAATTTTCATACTTATCTGTGATGTCGAAAATGGCATGATGAAGTAAATGCATAATTCCTAATTTAGCTCAACCCTCACTAGTTTTTTTTTTTTTTTAACAAGGTAAGTGCATTTTCTTCACTTTGTAAACCAAGTATTAAGCTAGTAATGGACCTGTACAATAGCATGTACAATATCAGTGCAGCAAAGGGCTAAAAGTCTCAAAGATCTATACTTAGTATGAATTGTTGCGACCTTGTCTTCAAGACGTCTTCTATGCTCTCCAGATCGTCTAAACAACACAAGCAGGGATAGTTCTCCTTTACCTTCTTGATATGTTTGAGTACGTTGTCACCCTTTTCTGATCAAGAAAGATCATTATTTTGATCTAGACAAGCATCATGGGTTGAGCTATTTGCAGCCATGGCCACATGGATGCATTTCAAAAGCTGAACCTAAGCATATTATACGAGGACTTAACTGTATAGATCGAATATTTTGTTGCATATTTTTCAAGTATATGTCACACAAAGTCTGATTTCGAGTTACATTACATGATTTCATATGCTACATTGCTCCATATAGCAGTTTGTTTACTGTCCCTAGACTGAGATCATAGATCGCCTTCTTGTTGTTTTCGGGGAGTTGTTCATCACCCATCCACTTCCTCAGTTTTTTGATAGTTGGACAATTTTGTGTGGCATCCTTATTGTACGACAAAAAATCGATGTTGGCGGAGTTCTGTAACTAAAACACCGCTATACTTAGATATTCAGTCAGTCACTTCTTTAATTTCACGAGTTTTGGAAATCGCAACAACATAGATCTCAATTTTGCTACTAGTACTCAATACAGTAGCTTCTTCGATATGATTCAAGGAACTTAGTTCAAAAATTGCTCAAGGCCATTCTGATTCAACTAGTGTTGTATGAATGTCAAGTCCAATTAACATGATGTTGCTACTTGCTACTCTTCTTTGTATATCGATCAAATGTTTTTAGAACGATCCATACTCGAAAGACTTGATTTCTTTTCTGCCGCTGATACCTCACATTTAGGCTCACTGAATGTGAATATATATACACCAATGGACGTGTATACTCAATCAAGGAATTAGGGCTAGAAGCAGCTTCACTAAATGCTGCTATAAAAGTCAGCCTTACCAAACGAGATAGGTACGTACTTCACTTGAACTTGTATATATATCACTGATACCACACATCTAGGGCTCAATGAATGTGAATATCTAATTTGATGACGAACACAATCACAGAAGACGAATAATCACAATTGAAACTGCAACTAGGGGTGTGATTTGATAGGCAGAATTTACATACTTCTCACTTGGTTCACTATCAACAGTCTTGACTGTCTGAGAGTTTAATTGACCATCTATATTAAAGCTGGTCATACTACTGGAACATAGAAATACTATCCTTTAGTCCGATGTCCGTCTATTAGAGCTAAAACATGCAACAGAAACAATCCCATCTAAGTTTTAGCGTCAGGGCAAAGAACACTATCCAAAAGCAAATACAGCTCGAGTTCAAATTACATGGAACTTCACAATAGACATCTCTGTTTCAATCATTTTTATGTATAACAAGAAAACTATTGAATCTTTGCAGCGTTATTGTTACTGGGGCCTATCACTTTCTGTTTCTTCCATTCTCTAAAAACGCCTCAGTACAATTGACGTCTCATAAACGTCTCATAAAGATGAAATTTCAGTGAATTAATTATCACCTGAACCAGCCAAAAGAACCAGGATAAGTCAATCTTGATGTACTACCCAGCTGCTACCTGGGGCTGTTTTCATACCCCTCTTGATCATCTCTCTTCTGAGTCTTTCCGCTTCCTCAAATTGCCCATTACTAGAATAAATTCTTGCCAGAATCACAAAATTAGCAGGATTCTCAGGTTCTACTTCAAATAAAGCTCTTCCAGCTATTTCTGCCAGCTCGACTTCTCCATAAGTTCGACAAGAAGCAAGTAGTGCTCCCCAAGCTTTCGCAGTCACTTTCACTGGCATTTTCCTAATAACGTCATACGCCTGATGCAATCTTCCTGACCTACTCAATACATCTATCAAACAAGCATAATGATCACTGCTTGCTTCAACACCATAACGAACCCTCATACGAGAAAAGTACATCTGTGCTTCATCAGCTAGTCCAGCATGACTACAAGCTTTCAAAACCCCAAGAAAAGTAATTCCATCAGGCCTGACATTAGCCTTCTGCATTTGCTCAAAAACTTCAAGTGCGGTTCTTGCCTGCCCGTGAAACGCGTAAGCTGATATCAAACTACTCCAAGCAACCACATCCCTGTTTCTCATACTAAGAAACACAAGATGAGCTTTCTCAAGACACCCGCAACGCCCATAAGCCTCAATTAATCCACTCCTCAATTGCGGATCTGGATCAATATCATTCCTTATCGAATACCCATGAATCTGTTCGATCAAATTCACATCCGCCGTACCAAGACAAGCACGCAACAATGCAAGCACCGTAATCAAATTCGGCTTCAACCCCATCCTCCCCATCTCTCTGTAACACAAAACAGCCCTACTAAACCCATCCTCCGTGTCCGCCAACCCCGCGATAATCGCGTTAAAAGTAGAAGGATTAGGCTCCACATCCATCACTCGAAACAACTCCAACGCCCTTCCAACATCATTACAATGTGCGTAAACCGAGATCATCGAGTTCCAAACGACTACATTTCTCTCAGGAGATTCATCAAACAGTTGGCGTGCGTACTCTACGGAGACACATTTCCCATACATGTCGACTAATGCACAAGCGACAAAGGGGTTGGAAATGAAAGAGGCTTTGGTTGTGTGTGCGTGAATGGTTGCGCCGAGCTGAGAGAAACTCAGCGCGGCGCAAGATTTGAGGGCAAGAGGGAACACGAAGGGGTCGAGTGAATGGGAGAGAGTTGAATGGATTTGGTGGAAAAGAGAAAGGGCTTGTTCATGTTTGCCTTGATTGACATGAGATGTTAAGAGTTTTGTGTAAGAGAGCAAACGTTGGAAGTTTGAAGAAAAATAACTCATTGCTTTGAGTTTTTTGCCGCCTTGTTTTGAATATATATACCAATAAAACAAGGTCGTAACGGACTGTTTGGTGTGATAGATAAAGAAAAATAATTTTGGAATAAGTTTTTAGTACCCCTCAATTATGTGTTTGGTTACAAAGTGTAGAATAAATTATCACAGGATTAATAATTACGACTTCGATAAGTTATCCCTACTTGTGGGTGGATTACTAATCGCGGGATAACTTATCTCTCGATAAAAATGTAAAATAATAAAAGTACCCTCTTAAAACCCTCTTTTATAAACAAACAACTTATTTTTCGAGGATATTTTTGCAAACAAATAACTTATTCTTAGAAATTATGTCATGATATTTGACAAGCCAAACAACCAATAAAACAATGACCTCTAAGTGAATAATATGAAACACACAAATGAGCTTATTACTCCGATGAGAGAGAGTTGCTCAGATGGTAAACACTCTTCACTTCTAACTTTGAGGTTGCGAGTGCTCCCTCCAAAGGAACAAAAAGGTGTGAGTTCCACCAAAGTCAAAGAGTGCGATGGGATGAATGAGAGATTTTCAAATATTTAGCTGGCGTGATTATGTTCTATTGTGAAATTTGAAAAAAAGAAAGTTGTTATTGTTTTTAAAGTAAAAAAAAAAAAATCTAAAAATTGGAATCATAGATATAAATTGAAGTACCTGTTTTTTTTTTCTTTTTGCGAGTAATTTGGATAGAGAAAAAGTAGAAATAATTTTTTTTTTATTTTTCAAATTCTTAAATATTTGAAAATTTAACTTCAGGTTGAATTCGCAAATTCTATGGTCAGATATTTCCTTAATTAGAGATTTTGAATCTGAATTTTAAATAAATTGCATTTCCCTTTTGATAGATCATATGTGGTGTTTATTCGAATTAATTTTTAAAGGGTTTAAATACTAGAGAGTTAAAAAAAAGTTGAGTCGAAATTTTGAGCAGGGTGCATTTTCTCTTTTAACGAACTCTATATGATGTAAAATTGAGTTAAATATTTTTAAATACGGGATGATTGAACCAAAAAAATAGAGTTTGAATTTTGGAATGAAGAAATTTAATGAAGGGAGCATTTCCTCTTAATGGATCCTATGCCACGTGAATTCAAATGGATTGTTTTAGTGTATTTTAAATATCAAATAATCGAATAAATAAAGTTTTAAGTCAGAAATTTCAGAAAATTTTCATGTAAGGATGCATTTCTCTTTTAATGGTCTCTATGTGATGTGAATTTGAATTAATTGAGTAAGTTGATTTTTAATACCATATGGTTAAACATTTCTTATTCATTCAACTATTAAAATTCCAAAACAGGTCTAATAAAAGTATCATATATGTAACAAACCCAAGTTCTCGACACAATTACGCAATTATTAGATAAGCACCGATAATCAAATTATAACGACAACATTTAACTATTGAATTACAATATAAAATACTGAAATAATAAATAACTAAGGATAAAAATAAAAACAAAAATGAGAAGATTAGGCTATCGAAAAAAGATGAGAGAAATAAACAACTTCTTTACAATACGCACAAAACCATTCTTTCTTGACTCCTAATCCTTTTTTAACGAAGCAAAAATTGCTAAATAAATTTTACAAATAGTATTTCACATTAACTATCTCAACCCCACCCTTTAATCCACTCCCACCCCATCTCTAACACCATAGCCCTCGTCCCCTATCACCCCTACTCTCGCATTCAATTTCTAATATTTAAATAAAATATAACTATTTTTAAAATAATATTTTCTACTTACATAATATCAAACACAATAAATAAAGCAAAAATTACCTAAATATACAATTTATTTTACCATATTCTCTAAAATTATCTACCATTTAAAAATATTACAAAAATCTCTACTCTATCTTATTCTCGGATACATCACTCTTACGCGATATATCGAGACACGTTTATCTTGTATCAACAAAGGTAATGTAACGAGACGTTAAGTGATATATCAGGTAGGTGTGTCTTGTATCAACAAAAGTAATGTATCAGAACGTGATGTATCGAACGTTGAGTGATGTATTCGAAACTGGGAGCAATGTATCAAGACGTTGAGTGATGTATCTGAAACCGAGGCTCAATGTATCCGAAATCCTTAAATTTTAAGAAATATTTGTAATTTTTTAGAAAAATATGAATATAATGTAATTAGCTTTTTAACAGTATGATATTTGTGTAAAATATACCATAATAAATAAGAAAATCACTTATCTCCCTAGCCCAACTCAAAAATCACAACTAATAACTTCCCATTTTGTATGAATTGTTTGCGGGTCGGGTTCATCGGATTACCGAATTTTACAAAACCTCCCACTCTTCCGAGTGAGCAGTTTTCTGGCCGGCAAAATGAGCTCATATTTCGGTAATCCGCCCAATCCACCCATATTTTAATGGGTTGGGTGAATGACTTTTTACATGAGTAAAATATGGGTTGATACCCATATTCAACGCATAAAAATATGGGTAAACTATGGATAAAATATGGATTAGTCAAATGAGTTAAGTTTCTAATTTTTATTTACTCAAAATTCATGATATCACTAAAAATAGGGAAAATGCATAAGTACCCCCCAGCCTATGCCCGAAATCCCCGAGACACACCTAACCCTTACTAAGGTCCTATTACCTCCGAACTTATTTTATATGTAATATTCTATCCCTTTTTGGCCTATGTGGCACTATCTTGTGGGCCCAGCGCATGTTGACAAATTTTTCAAGGATAGTGCCACGTAGGCCGAAAAGGGATAAAATATTATAGATAAATTAAGTTTAAAAGACAAAAGCCAATCCCCAAGCTTTTGCAGTCACCTTCACTGGCATTTTCCTTATAACGTCATAGGCCTGATGCAATCTCCCCACACTACTCAATGCATCTATAAAACAAGCATAGTGATCGCTGCTTGCTTCAACACCACATCGAACTCTCATACGAGAAAATTACTTTTGTGCTTCATCAGGTAGTCCAGCATGACTACAAGCTTTCAAAATCCCAAGGGAAGTAATTCCATCAAGACTGACATTAGCTTTCTCCATTTGCTCAAAAATATTAAGTGCAGTTCTTGCCTTCCCTTGAAACGTGTAAGCTGAGATCAAACTACTCCAAGCAACCACATCCATGCTTCGTGCGTCTATATGAAAAATAATAAATTAATATATTTCATTATAGATTGATAGTTATTTTAATAATGTAGTATGTCAGTGGTAGAGAATACAATGTAGATCTTATCTTCATCTAGGATATGATATGTTCTTTAATTTATTTTTTTCAATATGCAAAATAGAAATTATTTGCCTCTTTTCAAGTACAAACCTTTCATATGTACATAGCAAGCAAGAAATTTAGGATATATAAGTGGTAAAGTAAATGAAATAAGAGATCATATTTTGAAACAATAATCTATTATATATATTAAGTTGAAAATATTATTTTTTTTGTTTTAATTTCCTCTATCTTTTGTAGGAGTACTTGATCCTCTATGCAAAAACCGATCTTAAAAAAAAGTTTTAGAAGTTCTATGTTGTGGCTTTATTATTACATTCTTTTACACATTGATAAATATTTTTAAAAATATGAAAATGAACAAACAAGAGTTATGAATATTATTTTAGAGTAAAGTTATTAAGAAGATAGAGAGATATGAGTTACTAACAACTTGAATATATAATTTTATTAGACATTAAATACATTATGCAATGATTTTATTTGTAAAAATGAATAAATGAATGGCGAAAATAAAGGGAGTCAAAGAAGAAGAAAAGAAAAATGATACTAAATGATTTGGCTGCATAAGAGATGTGTCACATTACTATTTTAAAGGCCACAATTAAATAATAAGTAGGCTTAAATTTTCATAGTTATGTAACTAAGACATAAAAAATAACCTACATTATTACATTCACAAAGTAATAAAAATTGAAAAAGAAAAACTTATAATACATTTCAAGAAAGAAAAAAACAGAGACAAAAACAAATTGTTACATATGCAAAAGAATACGCAATGATATTATGTAATAAATTATTTTATCTTTAATTTTCTTTATGAGTAAAATAAAAATGAAACTCCTCATCATAATTCTTTTGGTTGAAATAAGATAACTATATTAATTATGCTTCATAACAAAAAGTCGGATCGTAGAAACTAAATGAGTAGTCAAAATGTGTAGCTAAGTTACTATTACAAGTCAAAGTAAAAAAATCTCTAGCAAAAATAATTCCTAACTATGCTTCAAAAAGTTTCCTTCTAAGCCCTCTTTTGCAAGTAGATCCGCCACCATGTTCCGCTCCCTAAAGCTATGTCAAAGCCCTCGTCATATGTTACCAATTGAAGAAATTTTTCAACACGTTTATGAATAAATAAAATAAAATAAACTATTTAATGATAATAACATAAAACACAAGAAAAATATAGACAATTGTTAATATGATACTGCACTATGTATGGTATTAATAATATTTTTGATCAAGTCATACCAATCAAAAAATAGTTATATCGAAAAAAAAGAAAGAAATCTAAACTATACAACACATCTGGAAAAAAAAAATTGCACTAAAATACAACTATTTTCCTATTACTTGAAACACACAGCAGACCTGAAAATTGGTTATCTCACCTAATTTTTACATAATTTATGCATAAAAAATTTCAATTTAAAAATGTAATGAATTTTTTGGGTCGGGTCACCGGGTTGTCTGGCGGGCTACCGGATTTCGCAAACCCCAAACACCATTCTTCTGAGTGACAAATTTTCTGGTAATGGCAAAACTCTAAACCCTTAACAACAATGTCGATTACTCTCTCATTTCTCTCATCTTCAATTCCCACTCTCAAGAAAACCCATAAAATCTCCTCAAATTTTCCTTCTAATGCTTTCTCTCATAATCAGATTCTTGATTTTCCCTCATCTGTTGCCAGAATTAAGCCTTTCAAACTCGAACTGAAACACAAATGTTCTGGGATTTTCACTAGTAATTGTGGATTTCAATTACGTAGGAAAAATGGGTTTATTGCGAAAGCTGAGAGTAGTGGAGTAGATTATGGAAACAGTGTTGATAAAGCTGAAATTGATGTTCGTGGAGAGAGCACAATGCCTGATAGATTCAGATACTTGACTAAAGAAGCTCCTGATAAGCCTGTTAGATGGCCTTGGTTCATAGGTATATCGAAAAAGCTCTATCACATGTTCTTTTTGTAGGGAAAAAAAATGCCCCAAATAAAGTAGAATGGTTATAAATGATTCATATTGTCGACCCCAGAAGGCATTGATTGATTGATATGTCTTTGAAACTAATCTTTTGGTAGTCTGATTGTAATCTGGCTTTGGTATTGCTGTATGAGAATTGAATTGCCCGTACAAAAAGAAAAGAAGTCAGCTTTTGTTTTTCTGTTTTACTTCCTTTAGATAACAGTGGTGTTTGGACTAGCTTGCTGGCAATTCGACTAATTCCGCGGGGTACCTTCTACCTCCCACCAACAAAGTGGATATAAATATATAGTCGACCCCAAGCAGGCTTAGTTGATTGATTGATATGTCTGTGAAACTAATCTTTTTACAGTCTGATTGTAGTCAAGCTTTTGTTTTTCTATTTTACTTAGTTTGATGTTTCATGTGCTGCTGTTTGCTAGTGTAGTGATAAGAGAATTCATAATGGGAACAGATAAAAGATATTGAGATGAGGATAGAGATCATTCTGTGCGATGGACGAGTCTGAACGAGTGCTGCTCTTATTTGAATGAAGCGGGAAAAAAATGTGATCTTTATAAAGTGAATGTTGTTATTTCCTACTAACAGTTCAATGGCTTATGATAATAGCTTAATAATGGTAAACTAGGACTACCTATCCTCCTGTTTGATTCTGGTTAGCTCTCATCTAAAATGGAAATTATAGACATTTCCAGGGGAAAGTCTTAATAGCCTGAATTGTGGATTATCTATTAGCCTCTCTTCTCTTTATATTTAGTAAAGTAGTTGTTATAAGAAAAGCACCAGAAGGAGGAATTGAACTTTACACAATTCCAGAAAACCATATGCTAGTTAAAGATAACCTACTTTAGGTTGTTTAAGTAGGTTTGGGCTAAGGTCATTGTGCTCCTGCTACCTCTTGGCAAAGTAGGTGTGTGTGTGTATATATATATATATATATATATAAGCTAATTTGTCAATTTTCTATATGTGGGCACTGATTTAGCTGAATGTGCAGTCTAGGCAGAGGGTTATGTAGTTGAGTATAGCTGCTGCTGAGTTGTTTGGTGATATTAATGGTAGTGCAGCAACATTTTCGAGCCTTCAGTAAGGAGGTCACTGTTCTCTTAATCCAATGAATGCCACAATATTTTCAACAATTCTTCAAAATTGATGTGGGTTTACTGTTATTTCTTTGTTTGGACCACATGAGAGGTACATAAGCTGCTTGATAATTTTTTTTTTTTGATACAAGTAGAAAGAAAGCCCAAGATACCACGTAGGTTTGGGGGAGAACTTGCTGGGAACATGTATCTGCTGTTAGAGTTTCGTGTACTTGTTGATCGTTTGATTTCCGTACGATTTTCATTTAAGTAGTAGCTCACATTCGTGTTCTGCACTTTTCATGTGTAGCTCTCTATTTATGAATAAAATGTTCCAGCTATAAACATTGAGTACTTCACTAACTCTGTAGTTGTTGTCAATATGCAGCATTGGCCTTTATTCTATATGCCTGGAGGACTGTCTTGTGGGAACTGGATAATTGGAAAAAGGCTGTGGGTGCTGTCTTCCGATTTCTCGGTTACATCTCGAAACTTGCATTGGCTGTTGTATACTACTTCATAGGGGATCAGATCACAGCTGTAATTAGGTTTATTGAATCATCAATTTACTCCATTCGAGCTTTCTACTCCAGTATAGTTGCATATGCACCAGTACAAGAGTTAACAACAATCATCATTTTGGCATCTTGTGTTCTTGCTATTGGTGAAGCGGCAGTTCCAGATTCTGTGAACAGCCAACCATACCTTCTTACAGCAGCTGGAATAATGGGATTTGCTGCTGTGAGAGGTTATATTTCCGAGCTGTTCTTTTGGTTTATTCTCTTAGGCTTGTTTTTCTTTGCTCGATTTATCAAAAAAAGAGATTATGTGTCTTCCGCAATGCCTGCTGCTGCTGCATTAGCTGCTATGGGAGAGCCTTGGGTTAGACTGGTAGTAATGGTTTCTTACGCTGCTTTGGCCATTCTGCAACACTCTAAAACACCTTTGAATAAAAGTGAAGGGGAAACTACCGGTGCAGTTAGGAAGGTCCCGGTTCCTCTGATATGTGCTGCATTGGCCATTGGTGTCCGACTTGCTGCAAAATGGGCTGGTTATCGACATTTGACTTGGATGATCGTTTGATATTCAACAAGCTTGCCCCTTTTTCGAGCTGGTAGAGCATTCTTAGTTGTTAGTTTCTACAGTGACAGCATGTTCTCTCATTTGGCAAAATTGCTTGTTGTTTCTCTTTTTATTGCCTGTCCAGTTCTTTTTGTACAACTTAGAGCTATTTTTCTTTCAAATTTTGCTCTGAATGTTCTAAAGTTGTTGTCTTTATTGCCTTCTACATATATGAAATTTCTCAATTTTGAGTCCGGTTGCAGTTTTGGTCCATTCATACCATTGTTATTGTCTCGTATTTATCATTGTCATTACTGGAAACTTCAACGTGAAACGGATGAACTCCATGTGTCCAAATTGTTTGAGAAAAAAGGTCAAATTTATCTCGCGGTGGGATTATTTTATCCCACCTTCTTCTATATGGGATAGTATCCCACCATGGGATAAAATAATTTTCGAGATCAGCTAATATCTCAAATAAAAAATGGGATAAAGTTAATCCCAAATTTTATCTCGAGATTACTATCTTTATCCCACGTGTCAAATGACCCCCATTATATTATGGAATAATTACTTGGGTGAATCCATTTTAAAAAATAATTACTTATTTTAAATATACTCTTTATTTATTACCATTTATAACAACATATAACAATACTATGTATTTTATTATATTTCAGTTTTTTGTCTCGCCTCTTTCTCCTTTTCATTTGTCCCCTCTTTCTCTCTTTTTTTGCCTCCATGTGCAAGGTGTCAATTTTTTAATATTATAATTGAAAGATCCACAATCTTCAGCCATACATTTAGTTCGTTATGCCTCTAAAAGGGAGAATAAATTCCTGAGTTCATTCTTTCTCTATTTGTCCCTGGAAATTAAGTTGTCAACCACTATAATTTCTGAGCTTATGTTCTTAATGAATAAAATATGTATTATACATGTCTTATAAATTGAAGTAAACCAATACGGTCAAATTAATCATTTTTTTGTTCCGAAGCATCACCAATAAACTACAAAATGAATTAAACTTGAATTAAAAATGTATTATACACATATTAAAATTGAATTAGAAGAGAAATAAACACGAATACAAAATGTAGCAAATGAATGAGCAGTCAATGATTCGTAGATTGAATAAAACTTGTATCAATAATTAATTAGACAAGTAATTTAATCGTAACAAATGAAGAAACATAATAAACTGTCAAATGAATTAAACTTGAATTAAAATGTATTACACACATATTAAAGTTGAATTAAACATGAATGGAAAATGTAGCAAACGAAAGAGCATTATGTGATATGTAAACTGAATAAAACTTGTATCAATAGTGAATTAAACAAGTAATTCAATCCTAACAAATCAACCAATAAACTGCAAAATGAATTAACTTGTATTTAAAAGTGTATTACACAAATATTAAAGTTGAATTAGAAGAGAGAATTAAACATGAATATAAAAAGTAACTTATGAAAGACTAGCCAATGATATATACAGTGAATTAAACTTATATCAATAATGAATTAAACAAGTAATCTAATAGTAACATATAATAAACTTCAAAATGAATTAAATTTGCATTAAAAGTGTATTACACAATATTAAAGTTGTAGAAGCGAGAATTAAGAATAAATGAAAAACGTAACTAACGAAAGACAAGACAATAATCTATAAACTGAATTAAACTTGTGTTATTCATGAATAAAACATGTATTTTATGTTTCTTATAAATTATTTTGGTTTGTATCATTAAGAACATGAGTGATGTTTGCAATATGTATTAAAAATATAGTGTGCACGTATTATAAATGTATAATAAGTGTGTTACCTAAATCATTTGGTTGGTATCACTAAAAATAGAGTAAAGTTTGCAATATGTATTAAAAATGTATTGTTCACGAATAAAATTTATATTATATGTGTCTTATAAATTATTTTGATTTGTATCACTAAGAAAATGAGTGATGGTTGCAATATATATGTATTATAAATGTATTTCTCATGAATAAAACTTATATTATATGTGTCTTATAAATTATTTTGATCACTAAGAAAATGAGTGACGGTAACAATATGTATTAAAAATGTATTGTGCATGTCTTATAAGTGTATTATTAGTGTGTTACCTAAATTATTCTTGTTGGTATCACTAAGAAAGAAGTGAAGTGTGCAATATGTATTACTTATAAATGTATTATTTATGAATAAAACATGTATTCTATATATCTTATAAATTATTTTGATTTGTATCACTAAGAAAAAAAAGTGATGTTTGCAATATGAATTACAAATGTATCGTGCCTATATTATATTATAAATGTATTACAAGTGTGTTACATAACTATTTTGGTTGATATCACTAAAAAGGGTGTGAAGTTTGCAATATGTATTATAAATGTATTGTTCATGATTTTAATACAATTTTAATACAATTATGAAACATATCTAATACAACTTTAATACAATTGCGATATAGTTCTATAAACTTTACCTTTTCGAGCTTCAATCTAATATTTCTCCTAAAATCAATGATAAACCAAAGTTTTCTTGAAATTGAGTTATAAACTTCAAACGTCGTTTTCAATTATTTGTAGGAACAATCTATCCAAATTAATTAATAATTCGTAAAATTCAAATAATTAATTCAAAATTTGAAGCTTTATAATGACCATCGATGATGAATTCTTGTTACTGTAATTTTAGAGATTTGAAATTTCTGCTTGAAAATATGATTTTGTACAAATTTTTGATATTTTTGTTCCTCTTCTCGTCGTGTTTTTGGGTAAAAATTGTGAAATATAGGTAAAAACTTATTTGAAGATATTTCTTTAAATGAAAAATTCAAAGACAAAGAAGAATAAAAAGAAGAAGAAAGGAGGAAGAGAAAGAATGGCAAAGAAAAAGACGAGAAGAAGAAGAATAAAAAAAGAAAAGAGGAGGAAGAGAAAAAAGGCAGAGAAAGAGGCGAACATAAACTGTACAATTTTTTTAATTCAAAAAAATTGTTATATTTAGTTAGAAAAATTATATTGCCATAGATAGTAAATATTTTCTTAATGTAGCATATTTATGTGATTTACCCTTATATTATTGGCTATTTTATATAATATCATATCCCCTATAAATTATGCTATATACGTTTAAAAAAATCACACTCTATTTCATTTTTAATTGTGTAAACAGATGTCTAAACTTTGATTGGTATTCATAAAATTATTGATATGAGAAAATTATGTCTATTTCAAAAGTAGTTATTTCATTATTCAATGTTATTACTTTATATATTTTGTTGCCACTTTAACTATTTTCAAATTTAATAATATGATTTATTTGCTTAATAGGTAAATCCTTAACATCAACTTTTAAAGAATAAGAAAATAAGGAAATGATTTGGTTAAGAGAACTTATCATAATCATAGCAAAAGTGTGTTGATTGTCTCGTTAATAAAAAATATAAAAAGAGATAATAATTTGATAATTTGCATGGTAAAATATAAGTTTTTAGAAATAGTTTGAGATAGTTATGATGCCTATCATTCAAAGAATCAAAGTGAATTTATTTTATTTTTTTTAAAAAATGAAGGAAAAAAAACAATCACATAAATTGAGATAGAAGAAGTACAGTACAAAAATCAAACATTAAAATTTATCTATAATTAATGGATAAAAAATACTATTAACTAGAAATAGTAAATTGACAGATTAGATTAAATTTGGACTAATTAAAATAAATTAAGTTAATAAATGGATAAACAACACGAATCTCACTTTCCGTAAGTTTTTGAAATTATCATTTGTGGCAGATTTTGATCCTAAGATACATGTATTTAGTGCATCCAGATATATGTATCTCAGATATTTAGGGTCAAAAGAAGGTGTAATTTGTTTCAGATACATTGTATTCAAATTGATTTGTATGTATCTAGGATACACAGACTCTCTCGCTCATTTCTCTCTCTATGTATTTGAAATGTCACAGATATATATAATGTGATTTGCATGTATTTGAGATACACCAACTCTCTCGTTTGCCTCCCTCATATCTCATTCGCCTCTCTCCTATCTCGCTCGCATCAGTCCTTATTTATCTGTATTTCACATTGTATCTGATGGAAAAAATACATATGCGTTGAAATTTGATATGAAATTATTAATTATTGAGACAATATGTAATTATTTCAAACTATTGGGAGAATTAATAAATATGATAACTTTTTGTAATTGAAATTTCAGGCTTTTATTTAAATATGATAGAAATATTTGTATGATTAAGAAGTTGTTCTTCAATAAATAAGTGAATCAATGACTCACTCCAAATTTATTTGGGCTAAAATGGATTGAATTGATTTGAGCTAAAATGCGACAAAATCCACCTCGTTCAATTCTTTCTAAATTTAATTATTTTATTTTTATAAATTTTTAGTATCTAATTAAATCATTAGTTTTCTTTATTATTACTCAATATCAAATAGAAAAATAATTTAACAAAATTTCTCATGAATCAATCTAAACTAAATAAATATTAATCCAATTTTTGATGGGCCCAAACTTAAACGGGTTGAATGGAATTGTGATTTAATGGGCTAACAACTCGGATCCAGAACAATACAATTAGGGTTTCGCCGTCCCCTTTCTCCTCTATATAATGCTAAGAACTCTCATCTTCTTCATCATTCTCTTCTCAATCTAGCCTCCTCCGCTAACACTTCAATGGCGTCTCATTAATTTTAATTGTTTTTTGTCAATTTTGTTAACCAAATTGTAGATCTCTGCACGTAGCCTCCCGGGCTCATCTGATTATTTTTTTACATGAAGTTAGAAGCCCCAAAGCTCGTGCTATAAGTTTTTTGCCGTTTAGTGTTGCAGTATTAGCCCTTTTGTACCTTTAATCCATGGCTTATCTGTGTCAAATTAACGGCTAAATCCCTTCTTTTAGAACAATTTTTTTTTGTTAATTATGCCTCATATCACCTTTAGCTTTTCTTCTAATTCAATGAAAAATATAGCTAGTCAACGAGGCATAGAGCAAATTGCGGTGTCAACGTGGGGTTTATGCATTTTTTTCTATTGTTTTACTCCTAAGTCCACTGCTATATTGTTGATCGTCTGTATCGGATTCTCCAAAAATATTATTTTCTATTTTGGCTATGATTAGAAGATTTATCCGCGCTTCTGAGAGTAATCTATGAAGCATATGATAAAAAAATGGTTGAATTTCTTAATATGAGCCTAATTTATTTATTTTTTTGGTACTAATTTGTTGTAGTTTGAAATTTGGCAGTGATGATATAAATTCAGCTTTAATGCCAGTTCTGCTTCTGATATTCCGTGATTGATAGAGCTGTTTATATTTCTGAGCCTAAAAATTTATGTTTTACATTGTAATTAGTTGAGTTTTTTCTTAATTGATGTGTAAAATGTCTGTTAATTATGATGATTTATTGTTAATTAGAGGCCAGTGATGTATGGTAATTGTCCGTACCATATGAGGAGTTTTTAGCTCCATTGATGTTATATTACCTTTAGCTTCTGAGGCCTTTTTAGTTTTTTTCCTCGTTCTGTGAATTTGGATTAGTCGAGTTTCTATCCTCTAGTAATGATCTTGTCGTCAATGCGTGAATTTGGATTAGTCGGGCTCTAGAAATGGTGGAATAAATAATGTCGAGACTAACTAATATGACCTCTAGTTTACTTGTTATGATTTTCAAGGCTTCTTTATCTGGTGGTCGAAACATAATCCATTTTCGATCAACTCGTTCCCTAGAAGCAATATTATTTGTGTTGCTCTATTGTATTTTTCTCCTTTCATAACCCCTTTTTGTCAAATGTGTTTGGAGTACACTATGGAGCAGCTACATTTTTAAAAATTTCTAATATAGTTTTGCTTATGATGATATAATCCGTGTTAATGAGGTGTAGTGGATCCAAGACCTTGCTTTGCAGGGAGAACACCACTTGGTGAAACTATATTACATATGATCATATTGGATTCTTCTGAGGCTTTTTTTAATTGGTATTTTTGTTTGTTTGATGAAAATATTTGAGTTCACTATACCCTTACTCCTTTATATTTGGGTGTAGGGTCTGATAAACTCATATAGTGTTAAGAGTGTTGTCATCAGCTTCTTCTTTTGTATCAACATGTTTGGAGTTAAATAACAGCACTACATTTTTTGTCTTTGGAGCAAGTATTTTTAGGTGGTATGATATGTTGTTTGGATTCTGTAAAAATGCTGGTCGACTTTCTTGTTGTGGTTCAATGCTCTGATGAATTGAGTATACCAAGTATATAACTAATGCAATGTTGATTTTTTTTTACATTAGGGCTTTGAGTGATGGAATGATCTTAACGAAGGCCAAATAAGACAAACATTGCAATTTCCTAGGATATGATATTTTATTATTTTGGTTAAAAAAATTAGGCATGATTGATATATTTGATCCACTAAGGATAGTAGTAAAATAGGTAACATACTAGAAAGTGGAGACTCTTTACTTTTGGTTTATTTGGTTTGTCAATTTGATTTTGATTTTAAGTAACTTCCAAATATGTTTTTTCATCAAAATTTAATGCTTTAACTGATAATTGAATTGATAATGATAAATTTTAAAATTGAATTGTATTGATATGCAACCCTTAATATACCAACGTCAACATCAAGAGATACAATTTGTGGCTAAATATTCTAATAAAAGTCATTCTTACTTTGAGACGTGACTAAAGAAAATACTTGACAAGAGAAATCAAGCCTGTTTACCCGGCAATTGGAGCTGTCTAAAATGTTAATTTTTTAATTAAAGAATATTTAATTACTTGAATTGAGGTATTTTGAAAGGAAAAAAGTATCTTTTATGAGATAGTAATAAGGTACTTAAATTTTGTTTATAGTTTATGAGATTAAAATATTCTTTCAAAAATTATTTGTGACAAAAGATATTTTTCAAAATAAATATATTAAGGAAGTCTCTCCCCTTTTGTATGAATATCGATTTCGTCAATTTTCAATTTCTCCTCCTTTTATTGGACAACTTACACATTTTGGACAAAGCAACATAATATGAGTTTAAATAATTGGTATATTGTTGGTGTACATAATTTATATACCAATTAAGTTAATTTTTACATGTAATGTATCCTATTTTAAAATTCTTTAATCTCACATTTTAAGAAAAATCATTTATAGAATTATTTGGATGATCACAACAACAATAATAATGTATCTTGTATAATTTTGCAAGTGACGACTACGAAGAGTAGAGCGTATACAGACATTATCATTATCTCGTGGATGTTGAGATGTTGTTTTTGAAAGCCTCTCAGCTCTAGAGTAGCAAATTCAAGTACAAAGAAGAAGAAAATCGTGTAGCAAACATATGTACTAACAAAGAAAACAACACGAAGCCTATAAAAAAGGAACAAGAACCATAAAATAGCGTGATAGTGGAAATACATTAAACAACAAAGATGACAAATATCCTGAGCGAATAATACAGTTAGTACAATGACAAATACCACAAGCCAAAACCCTTAAAAAACAAAAACAATCATTCCCTAACAGTAACTTTCTACCCTGGTATGTAGGGGTGTGCAAAAACCGAACTGACCGATAAACTGAACCGATAAAAGTGTTATTGGTTTATTGTTATTGGGTTATCGGTTATTTAATGGTTTTACAAAAAAAGATTATTGGGTTATTGATTTTTTAATATTGGGTTATCTGATAACCCATTAAAAATATAATTATTTAATATTTAGTTATACATATATATAATATATCAACAAAAAATATAAATTTAATTAGTAGTATATTAGACTAAAAATATAAAAATCCTACGCAATAATTAACACTACTTAACAGTTAACTCTCCTCTCTACTTTTAGTTATTTAACCTTTAGGTTCTACTTTTTAGTATTACTTATTTACTTTAGTTAGTTTATAATTGACTAATATTAGCTTTTGCACGATTGTAAATATGCGCAATTTGATTAACGGAATTCAGATTGTGTTTTTTAAAAATAAAATAAAGTAAGAACTTTATTTAGTTGGGTCTTTATATGATTTGCCATAAACATGGCCTCATTTGCTATTGTTTTGACTCTTGTCTATGATTTGGTTTTATTTGATTCTCTTTATTGCATAAAGGGGATCTCGTTTTATATATTATGGTGATCGAAAATTGACCAAGACTTTGTTGTGATGACCAAAATACAGCATGTTGGTCCTTGTTGTCCCGTTTGTGATGATTATTTCGATGTATGCGTATCACGTCAAATTATTGGATAAGTCATATATGTGTTTTAAAATCATTTTCTTATTGGTTAAATCGAAAACCGATAAACCGAAAACCGATAACAAATATCTTATTGGTTTGTTTATCGGTTTAGCATATTCAAAAATCGAAAATCAATAAATCGAACCGATAATACTTAAAACCGAACTGAACCGACCGATACACACCACTACTGGTATGTGACCTTCATAACCTCTCATCTAAGGTCATGTCCTCAGTAAGTTAAAAATGTGTCATGTCTTGTCTAATTACATTTACTAATATTTCTTTGGTCTACCTCTGTCTCTCATCGGCCCCACTATGTCCAATCTCTCAGATCTCCTTATTGGGCATCTCTTTTTCAAATGTCCAAACTATCTCAATTTTTTCCTTGCATCTTGTCCACCACAGATGTCACTCACACTTTGATCCGAATATGCCCATTCCGAATCCTATACTCCTAGAATGCCCAAAATCCATCTTAAAACATCCTCATTTTTTATAGTCACATTTCATGAGCATAAAAGTTCTTGACTAATCAACATTTAGTCCCATACAACAAAGTCAGTCTAACTATCACTTTATAAAATTTACCTTTAAGTTTTGATGGTATCTTCTTGTCATACAAGATGTCGGATGCAAGCCTCCACTTCATTCATGTCGCACCAATACAGTGCGTGACATCATCGTCGATCTTTCCATTTCCTTTGATCTGAGACCCCTAGATACTTAAATCTTTCACTCTTGGAATAACTTGAGTATCATATCTCACTTTCACGCCCGTTTTATACGTTTCATCATTGAATTTGCACTTCAAATACTCTATTTTGAACCTGTTCTTTGCCTCTTTCTGAATCCTTTAGACTTCAAAGTCTGTCTCTACGCCTCCAATTTATTATTGACTCCAATGTGCGTTTTTTCAATCAAAACAATGTCATCTATAAATAACATACATCAAGATGCTCATTCTGAATATGTTACGTCAATTTATCCATTTCAAATACAAATAGAAACAAACTTAACGCTGATTATTGGTGCAACTCAATCTCAACTAAAAAAAATACTTAGTCTTCCCCCATAGTTCTTACCCCACCGGTAAAATTAAAACAAAGAATATTAAAAAAATACTTAGTCTTCTCCCATAGTCCTCCCTTATACTTGTATGCATTTGTATTCTGGACCATTCTACTTGATCATTTGTCAATTGAACCCTTAAACTCAGTAAAACTAAGCATTTAAACTCCTTTCGCTGTGTGTGAACTTCAAACACTTGACAAAAATGACATATCATCATCCACATCACATTTTAAATGACACATCACTTATTATTATTATTATAAAAATCTGTTTTTTCTTTCTTTTTCACTTCATTCCTCCTTCTTCCCTTCACCTCTCTTCATTTTTATTTTTTTTTACATTAGAGATACCACCACAACCTTCCATTCTCACTAGTATCATTACATTCCTAAATAACTAACAATTATCATTTAGTTTTTTTTTTTTCAAAATTTCTTTCATTCACAACTTTTAATCGTATTTCTTTTACGTACATTCACATCTACAACTTGAACCACCATAAATCTCTTTTCCCCATTGATGTTAACAAATAGCCATTAAAATACATCAATATACTCTAATATTTATACAAAATTTTACATAACACATTTCACCTAATTTCACAAAGACATTCAACAATCACTTTTCATCTTTCAAGATTGTTGAATCTTTATTACTTTATGGGTTATAAATTACCCCAAAAATAAAAGGAAAATACAGATCTACAACAACAATATAATTTCATTTCTATTCCCGGAAATGTGAAAAAAAAGAGAAACAAGAAATTGGAAAGGATCGGAAAGGGGAGAAAGAAGAGAAATGGGGGTTTGAGAGTAGAAAGAAAAAAAATAAATGGGGATGGGTGGGGTGGGAAAAGAAGAAAGAACTGAACAAAAGTTAATTTTCTTATTTTTTATCTTTTTATTCAATTTTTAAAAAGAAAAAAAATATTTTTAGTCTAAAATTTGATCTATCACGCTCCTTCTATGTGTAACATCACATATTTGTGCCAACTCAATAATTGAGTTGCCACATAAGTTTGGTCAACGGTCAGAAAGTCTTAAAACATAGAATTTTATTGAGTTTAATGGTTCAGTTGACAAATAGTCAAGTAGAAGGGTCCAGAATACAAACACATATAAATAGAAGGGTCCATCAACCCATTTTGTTAATTTTAGACCATTACTTCCTAAAAAAATTTACTACGTGTGAGACACAATTTATACTAGTTGTATGAAGATATTATTTTATTGATTTTATATTCTGACATGTGGGATCCATGCTTTATGTTCCTTCTTGGGCTTTGTTTCTCTTTCCCTTTTTTTCCCCCTCATTTTTGTTTTCTCCAAAATCTAATTTGAAACCGATTTAATTACTTCCTCAGTTTGTATAAATGAATATAATTTATTTTTTACTTATTTATTTTAACAATTTTTTTTTAAAAAAATTATTATTTTTATCATTAATTCTCTGCATAAGATATTGAAAATTAAATTTTAAAATATTATTGATAAAACTAGTTTAGTAAAATGATTCTCTAAATATATATATAAAATGAAACACTAGTTATTAAATTATACATTAAATATTTAGAAGTTATGAACATAAAAAGCATGATTATGATTATTATTATTAAGCATTTGACTATAGAATTCATATATTTTTTCTACTGTA